AGTCGTATGACCACATGATTTCGTGTTTCCCTAATATTAATGATTTCCACGAAATACTGTCTCTCCTACATTTACAAAGTTCGTCGCACCCTTCCACAGACTGGTGCGGCTGGTACCTAGTTGACTGTGAACTATACAATGCGGGACGCTAGTCCATAGCAATATTACGGGTGAGAGGTTGGTGAAATGGTTCAAAAATAATTTTTGAACTATACGTCTATACATCATATATTAAGAACGTATATAATATATAAATAATAATATATAATACAATATGATAAGTGATAAGGATAACATATTATACAAACATAATAAAATACATTAATTTTATTATACTTATTACTATCGTTATTATTGTATATTTTTATGTTTTATATATGTACATATAATAATGCAGAGTGTATACCTAGCCACTGTAGTAAACCCGACATTATTACGTTTAGAATATAATTCATATACATATATGATATATCAAAATATAATGTACATATTTATAGATTCATACATAATAAGTATAAAAAATAAAAGGAAATATAATTACTAGTAATAAGTGTGTGTAAGCCGTTTTTAGATCAAAGGTTAGGTTATGTAAATAATTATGTAAATGCGTACATATACGTGGAAGCCTAAACTGGATCAAAGGTGGAAATAACAAATCGTTTTCCTATTCATTAAAAACGCAAAAGTAACAGTAGCTACGCGAATGTACCTCATTGTGAGCACCCATATAAATACGGGTAGAGCACTTTATGATTTTTAGAAGATAGTCAACACTGTTCGAAAGCTTAACACGCTTACGACAGTTTATTTTATAATTTATTTTGTGTTTAACGTGTAACAATAAATTGTGTATTTTATTTAATAATAAAGTGTTCAATTATTTCTTACCTATCTTTCTCAACCACAACATCTCAAGACTGATCAAGACGTGCTACGTCGTTTAAATAATTAATTGTATTGTGCTCAACGTGTCCTTCACGGCGATCACTACACCACCTAGGTACTAAGTAGTAAGTACGAACTACTATACATAGCGTAGTACTATAGTAGTTCGTGGTACTAAGCTATCCAGCGACACGGTAGTGCCGCGAGCTAAGTAAAAACAAAAAAGAAGCGAAGCACTCGACCGTGTATATTATCTGAAACCAAAACATTCCCATTTTATACGTGTTAATATTTTGCTACTCTTTATTAAAGGCAGCTGTAGGTCTAATAAATGGTACAATCGTTAAAATGAGGTATCAGTCGATCGATAAAATCATAGGCTACGTGCTTTTACAATTTTCAATGAAATCGGTTGAATAATATTTCAGTTATGAGCAAAAAACTGTGGATATTTTAATGATCATTTTTTATTACTTTTGCCGCCGACTCGCGACTGCCGTATTATACGCGTCACTTTGTCGGAGACGGGTGGCGGGGATTCATGCGACGGCGGCGTATTTCTCTCACTACCTACTATTTTTCTCCTCCGTGTGTTCAAACACATACTATTTTTTTTTCTTCACACTATTACACTAACATTATGGACACATGGTTCACTATCGTCTTGGTCCGTCTATCGGTAATCGGTGCAGTCGGTATTTGAGTCTAGCTTATCTATTTTGTTTACATTATTATATTATTCGATGCACGTATGTAAAATATATATTGACCCTATTAAAATAAACTAAATTTAAAGTAGAATGTAGATGATGCTTAAATTCTATAAAAACAATAAAAATTAAATTTAAAAAAAAAGGGGGTAAGTCATATTTTAGTTACAGACACAGGACACAGCAATAATAATAAGATGTACGAGTAATATAAACAGTAATATAATATAATATACTAGCCGACCCGTCACGACTTCACCCGTGAAGTAATATTATATTTTATATTTTATCTTTAGATATTTTTGTTTATTGTAGTGTTGTTATAAAGAGGAGATTTTGTGACTTTATTAGGGATAATATCTAGATTATTAATTGTCCATTTTTTGGTAGAACATTTATAGCATTCATGGATCCGATTCGGACGGAACACTGTTGAGCATAATCAATCTAGCTGAAAGCCGATCTGTTATTACTGTGAGCTAAAAGTCGATTGCGAACTCCAGCCGTCGTCAACATCTGTTGTCTTTCTTTCTAATTTCGAAAGCTTTCGGAACGCTCAGAGCTTGATACCCTAAATGCGATCTTGTACAGTTCTAATATTTTGTTCAGCAAGCCTTTGTGAACGMTCAATACTTAGCTCTCTTGCACGCATATTCTCTCTGACTTGCAAGACGATATTCAGTTTCTAATTCTCCATCACGATGTATTTATTTAGCCTCTAAACAATTTCTAGAAATTTGAGATCTTGAACTATTGGCATTTTAAAATGATAAAAAAAACTAAATTATTTTGTGATACAATTACCAATCCTTAATGTTTTGGATCTTTGAAAAATTTACAAAAACATTTTTTATGTTTTCGAGTAATCATGGAGTAAAATCACCTATTAAAAAAATTATAGGGAGTAATAATTTTAAGGGTATGAGTGTGTATGATATGAGTGTTTTTTTACACGGAGTTGGCGAAGTGTTTTTGTAGGGATTACAATTACAGCAACCATTTACCTAATATTATTATCATTAATCATTATAATATAATACCATTATACTAGCTGTCAGCTGATATACCTATATATAATATATCATTATAGTGATTTATTCAAATAAAAATATCACATCAGCTAATCAGTAATACTTGAAATACATAATTATTCTTATTTCAATAATCCATTATATTTTGTATCTTGTGAGTTGTGTTCGTTGTCCATTATATGAAATTATAACAAGTAATATAGGTATTAGTTTTAAAATGGATGATATGAAAATCAAATTGTTTAAGGAATTTATCTTCAGTAGAAATCATATACCAAATCTCATAGTTCAAACATTTCCTGCAAGAAAAAGTAAGAACTTTTTTATTAAATTAAATAAAAAAAAGCTGTACTACGTCTTGTTACATATTGGTATATATTTTATTAGATGTGTTAGTTCGTTCACTTAATTTTGATGATGGACATACTGATGAGTTTGAAGATGATGTACTTCTATTTAGCGAAGAGAGTAAAAGTAAAATATTTAAAACAAAAATTATAGGTTTTGCTGAAACTATGGTACCCAGATTTGAAGATAAGGAATTCAAATCTCATTTTCGCTTAAATAGAAGTAGTGTTCAGGTTCGTTTAATTATTTTAAACACTTAATAATAATCAACAGTTTTTGTAATAGTCAAGTACTGAAAGCTGTATTTAAAAAAAAACAACAGTCATTTAGGTACTCTATTAATTTTTTTTAGGTAGTAATTTCATATATAGGTCCTATTTTATCATCACAATCTGTAAAGATTAATGTTGAAAAGCAAGTGTTATTATTCATTTGGTTTATGGCAAATTGTGAAACGCACCGGTARTATACCTACTTTTATATCATGTTTTTTTTATATAAATAGCAATGTATTTAAATTCATTTCAGACAAATTTCAAATAGGTTTAATGTGGCAGAAAGCACTAGTCACCATAGGCACAATTTGGGTTAAATGCATGGGGGTGCTAGGTTTGAGTTGACCAAAGTGACCCGTGGGGGGCTTTGCCCCCACACCCCCTTATGACCATACCACGACACCATTTAAATAAAATAAAACACAAATTTAAGGTATATAAAAACAGGTAAATATGTTTATTTAAATATTATATTAAAGGTATACGTCTTTGGGACAAACCAAACTTCATCAATAAGTTCATAGCAAAATGCTGCATTGCTTTTTATACTATACTCCAACCAATTATATTGTTTATACCATTCGCTACTAAACGATCTGTTTTGCGAACCAAATCTAGTTAGCTTATAAACCTACAAGATAGAACGATTACAATACAATATATACAAATAAAAGTATTTTAAATAGGTATTAAAATATTTAATGAATAATTTTAATACCAATGTGGTTTAAAATACTTTTCAAAAGAATTCGTATAGGTATTTAAATACTTCAGTTAAAAAGTATTAAAATATTTATTCAAATATCTTTGCTAATAAGTATTTAAATATATTCAAAAAGTATTTCAAATACTTTTAAATATATTTTTTTTAGCTTTGTTGTTTCAAGGTTCTTAATTCTTAAAACCAATTAATTTAATTATGTTCAAGTGATAATTTATAACTTATTATTATTAAGCAATTTCTTCATAGTCGAAAAACCAAACTAAAAATCTTGTTCGGAAGGATTTTGTATTTAATATATTTGAAATACAGAAAAAGTATTTAAATATTAAACAA